TGCTCCTTCTCTGCGTTCTGAAATGGGATTGCCAGCTTTGCAAACAGCAGCTTAACCCATTGTGCCACAACGCTGGCCCCTAAAATACTTCTTTTGTGTTATATATATATATATATATATATATATATATATATATATATATATATATATTTGTTATTTCTACCCTTACTACATTTCTGTAACGTAGGTACTATTGTCAGCCCATTTTACAGATGAGGCAGTGGAGACAGAGGCTGTGTAACTCTCTGTAGGTTGCTCAGTTACCAAGTGGCCAGGCCAGAATTTGAGCCCAAGCAGTCTTGAGTGTGTTCTTGAGCACCAAGATCCACAGATAAGAGGTTTTTATTGTTGTTGTTGTTTGTTGTTTCTTTTTTTTTTTTTTTTAAGATTTTGTTTGGGGCCAGCGCTGTGGTGTAGCGGGTAAAGTTGCCGCCTGCAGTGCTGGCATCCCATATGGGCGCTGGTTTGAGACTCGGCTGCTCCACTTCCAATCCAGCTTTCTGCCGTGGCCTGGGAAAGCAGTAGAAGATGGCCCAAGTGCTTGGGCCCCTGCACCTGTGTGGGAGACCCGGAAGAAGCTCCTGGCTCCTGGCTTCGGATTGGCGCAGCTCCAGCCATTGCAGCCAATTGGGGAGTGAACCAGAGGATGGAGGACCTCTCTCAGTCTCTCTCTGCCTCTCTTCTCTCTGTGTAACTCTGACTTTCAAATAATTAATCTTAAAAAAAAAAAAAAGATTTTATTTATTTATTAGAGAGGTAGAGTTAGAGAGAGAGGGAAAGAGACAGAAAGGACTGCCATCCTCTGGTTCCCTCCCCACATGGCTGCAACGGCCAGAGCTGGGCCGATCTGAAGCCAGGAGCCAGGAGCCTCTTCGGGTCTCCCACGTGGGTACAGGGGCCCAAGAACTGGGGCCATCTTCTACTGCTTTCCCAGGTGCATTAGCCAGGAGCTGGATTGAAGTAGAGCAGCAGGACTTAAACCACTGTCCATGTGGGATAGCGGCTCCGCAGGCAGAGGCTTTACCTACACCACGGCGCTGGCCCCAGGTTCCCCACCACCACCTTCTGCCTTTCTCTCCCCGGTGTGACTCACCTGCCTGGTGTAGGACAGGAGACCCCAGACTCTATCTAAAGTCCCCCTGGATGAGTGCGGGTCCCTACGTGAGAGGCGTGTGACAGCTGCTCTTGCCCCTCCTTGTGTTCGTGTTTGGGGCAGTGGTTTCCGGCAGAAGGGAGAGCAAGAAGGCCAAAGGCCATGGTGAAAGAGCCAACTGGACCCACAGGCCTGCCTGGGCTGGACCCTGTGTTCCCCTGTCGTTCTCTGAGCCCCAGATAGGTACAAGCTCCACAGGACTGTTTCCATTAAAAGTTCAGGGTATGCAGACCGGCGCCGCGGCTCACTAGGCTAATCCTCCGCCTAGCGGCGCCGGCACACCAGGTTCTAGTCCCGGTTGGGGTGCCGGATTCTGTCCCGGTTGCCCCTCTTCCAGGCCAGCTCTCTGCTGCGGCCAGGGAGTGCAGTGGAGGATGGCCCAAGTGCTTGGGCCCTGCACCCCATGGGAGACCAGGAAAAGCACCTGGCTCCTGGCTCCTGGCTCCTGCCATCGGATCAGCGCGGTGCGCCGGCCATTGGAGGGTGAACCAATGGCAAAGGAAGACCTTTCTCTCTGTCTCTCTCTCTCACTGTCCACTCTGCCTGTCAAAAAAAAAAAAAAAAAAGCCGGCGCCGTGGCTCAATAGGCTAATCCTCCACCTTGCGGCGCCGGCACACCGGGTTCTAGTCCCGGTCGGGGCGCCGGATTCTGTCCCGGTTGCCCCTCTTCCAGGCCAGCTCTCTGCTATGGCCAGGGAGTGCAGTGGAGGATGGCCCAGGTGCTTGGGCCCTGCACCCCATGGGAGACCAGGAAAAGCACCTGGCTCCTGGCTCCTGCCAGGATCAGCGCGGTGCGCCGGCTGCAGCGGCGGCCATTGGAGGGTGAACCAACGGCAAAGGAAGACCTTTCTCTCTCTGTCTCTCTCTCTCACTGTCCACTCTGCCTGTCAAAAAAAAAAAAAAAAAAAAAAAAAAAAAAAAAAAAGTTCGGGGTATGCAAAGCATAACATTTCTGTCTTCCTCCCTTCCCCCACCCAGAGTTTTTCAAATCTCCCATTCTTCTGGTGGGGGCTGGAGAAGAGGGGGAAGGCAGGGATGAAGCCAGGAGGTCAGCATTTCCTACTGTGTTGGGGTTCCCACCTGGATATGGCCCCCTGCCCTGGTCCCTGGTTTGAGCAAGAGTTGTCCTGTGGCTGTGTGTCTCTCCTCTCCCGACAGGGAGCTCTGACATCCAGAAATAGCGTTTCAAAATCAGCTGTATTCGGGTGGACATTGTGCTAGAGCAGGTTAAACTGCTGCTCGAGACACCTGCGTTCCGTCGTGGGGCGCCTCGTGCAGAGGGCCAGCGGCTGCTCCTGCTACAGTTCCCTGCTGGTGCACCTGGGAAGGCAGCTCAAGTCCTTGGGCCCCTGCCGCCCGCGTGGAGGCCGGGATGGAGTTCCTGCCTCCTGTTTTTCAGCCTGGCCCCAGCCCAGTGTATTATAGGCATTTGGGGAGTAAACTAATGGATAGATGATCTGTATCTTCCCCTCTCTCTGTTACTCTGCCATCCAAACAAAGTTAAATTTTTTAAGAAAGTTGACTGTATTTCTCCCATTATAGAAGCAGTGCCAGCTGGTAGCAAATTTAGATATATAGGGGAAAAACATCATCTGTAATTCTGCTGCAGGAGCTCTCACGAACACAAGGTGGACTTGCTCTCGTCCCTCCCTTTCTGAACCTGGCTTTTGGTCTGTGCATGTGTCTTACTGTGGGTGAGCCTCTTTTGCATATGGTTTTGTATTGTCCTTATTTAACTTAGCATAGGAAGCAATTTTCCGTCAACATGTGGTTTTTGTTTTAAATTTTTTTTTCCAGTGTGCTAATAATGTGTGTTGTTCAAAAAGTCAGATGGTACTGGGCTTACGATAAGTGCAGCCCCTGCCCCAGGCTGCTCTCTTCCCACCTTCAACTCCTAGCTCTTTCCTCTCTTATCCAGGTTCTTTCACAACTTTTTTGTTTTGTTTTGTTTTCTTAAAAATAAACTTGTTTAAGGTTTAGATACTATCTTTTGACTTTCTGCTGTGGAAAATTACAGTCTCTGCATTCTTTTTATTTTTTTTTTTTAAGATTTATTTATTTGAAAGGTAGAGTTACAGAGGCGGGGGGGGGGGGGGGGCTTCCATCCGCTAGTTTACTCCCCAAATGGCCACAATAGCTGGAGCTGCGCTGATCCGAAGCCAGAATCCTGGAGCTTCTTTTAGGTCCCCCACATGGGTACAAGGGCCCAAAGACTTGGGCCATCTTCTACTGCTACTGCTTTCCCAGGCCATAGCGGAGAGCTGGATTGAAGTCCTGGAGCAGCTGGAATTTGAACTGGCACCCATATGGGATGCCGGCACTGCAGGCAGCTGCTTTACCCACTATGCCACAGCGCTGGCCCTAGTCTCTGCATTCTTATGCCTCCATACAGGTATTTTCCCATCTTACCAAATACTTATCTCTAATTTGGGGTAAATTACTATGACAAGATCAGTATCTTTCAAAGCTGAACCATTGGCCGGCACCGTGGGTCACTAGGCTAATCCTCCGCCTTGCGGCGCCGGCACACCGGGTTCTAGTCCCAGTCGGGGTGCCGGATTCTGTCCTGGTTGCCCCTCTTCCAGGCCAGCTCTCTGCTGTGGCCAGGGAGTGCAGTGGAGGATGGCCCAAGTGCTTGGGCCCTGCACCCCATGGGAGACTAGGATAAGTACCTGGCTCCTGCCATCGGATCAGCGCGGTGCGCCGGCCGCAGCGGCCATTGGAGGGTGAACCAACGGCAAAGGAAGACCTTTCTCTCTGTCTCTCTCTCTCACTGTCCACTCTGCCTGTCAAAAACAAAAAAAAACAAACAAACAAACAAAAAAAACAAAAAAAAACTGAACCATTTGTGATTACATAAATTACAAAGTACTCATAATAAATAAATAAATAGGTGTGTATGTATATATAATTTTGAGAGGTGGAAAGATGGGGACAGAGAGCTCTCGTCCACTGTTTCAGTCCTCGGATGCCTGCATCCCAAATGAGCACTGGTTGGAGTCCCAGCTGTTTCAGTTCAGATCCAGCTCTCTGCTGGCGCACCTGGGAAAACAGTGGAAGATGATGGCCCAAGTGCTTGGGCCCCTACCATCCACATGGGAGACTCAGATGGAGTTCCAGACCCTTAGCTTCAGCCTGGCCCAGCCCTGCCCATTGTAGCCATTTGGAGAGTGAACCAGCAGATGGAAGACCTCTTTCTATCTCTTTCAAATAATATATATTTTTTAAATGGAAAAGAAAAAAGCTGTGCACAAAACTTTTTTTTAACATATAGGATTTTTATTCAGCTAAATTTGTAGTACACTGTTGAGACACAGGAATGAATTTCTTTCTTTTACGATGTAATTGAAGGATGTCACACACTCAGGAATGTTAGGTGCAGTGCTTCATGAAGTGTCAGTTCCGGGTACACCACGCACCCTGCAGCTTCCCAGAACAGTCAGGACGCAAAAACTCCCATTCCTCTGAGTCTCTTCTCCATCAGTGCCTGCACCCCCTCCTCCACCGCCAGCCTGTCCTGGAAAGATGGCCACTTGTCTGACTTCTACCACTGCTGGTTCCTCAGTGAGCTTTGCCTGCTCCTGAGCTGAACAAACATTCTGAAGACTCCCCACGCACAGGCAGCGGCACCAGCTTGGCAGACACGATTTCTGGACTGCCAGCGTCCAGGGCCACAGCCCAGTCATGTCTGAGACGTTGGCCTTAGCTCCGTCATGACTGGAGACAGCTGCCTGCTGCCCAGGCCCGTACAGGCCTACATCAGACTGGGGGTCGACGGGAGGCCCAGGCCCCCCAGTGGGAGGTGTCTCCTGGGGAGAGGACTCAAACGGATTACTTGTGTGACCAGGCGCAGCCGCAGCCCCAGCCCCAGCCGCAGCCCCAACCCCAGTCTCAGCCACCGTCATCCAACAAGCGTCCCAGCAACAGCACACCACCCCCCACGCAGCTCAGCAAGATCAAGTACTCAGGGGGGCCCCAGATTGTGAAGAAGGAGCGACGGCAAAGCTCCTCCCGCTTCAACCTCAGCAAGAACCGGGAGCTGCAGAAGCTTCCTGCCCTGAAAGGTACTTGTGGATGGGCAGGGCGCTGGCAGCTGGGCATCGGCCGGATGGGGATGGAGGTGTTGCGGTGTTTGGGGAGAGGAGGGCGTTCTGGAGAATGTGGGGCAGGGGGTGGGGTCAGGGGAGGCCCTGGAAGGCAAGGAGGGTGTGGCAGAGAAGTGCTGGAGAGGAGACTCTGACTGGGGGGGTTCCCCCAGATTCGCCAACCCAGGAGCGGGAGGAGCTGTTTATCCAGAAGCTCCGCCAGTGCTGCGTGCTCTTCGACTTCGTGTCAGACCCACTCAGTGACCTCAAATTCAAGGAAGTGAAGCGGGCAGGTCTCAACGAGATGGTGGAGTACATCACTCACAGCCGCGATGTGGTCACCGAGGCCATTTACCCCGAGGCTGTCACCATGGTGGGTACGGGGAAAGGGCCCAGGGGCGGGTGGCTGCCCCGAGCAGCCCCGCTGAGCTCTAACCCGGGCCCCACCCCTCAGTTTTCAGTGAACCTCTTCCGGACGCTGCCACCTTCATCAAATCCCACAGGGGCTGAGTTCGACCCAGAGGAAGATGAACCCACCCTGGAAGCTGCCTGGCCGCATCTCCAGGTACTGGGGCAAGGGGCCAGGCCGGCCCTGGCCATGGGGAGCAGGGGCACCCTGAGGCCTGCAGCACGCGGGCCACTCCCATTGCTTGAGGAATGCCTGCTCAGTGCGGCCGCTGCTCCATGTCCACAGCTCGTGTACGAGTTCTTCTTGCGCTTCCTCGAGTCTCCTGACTTCCAGCCAAACATAGCCAAGAAGTACATTGACCAGAAGTTTGTCCTCGCTGTGAGTTCCTGAGCGCCCGTCCTGTCCCTCTCCTTCCGTCCCATGAACTCGAGCCCCTGCTAGAGCCCGCCCCTGGGTCACAGCTGCTCTTTGCCCAACGCAGAGCACGTTGGGTTTCAGCTGTGTCTGCTACAGGGCGTCTGTGGGGGTGGCGGGGTGGGGTGGGGTGGAAAACTCGCCCTGCCCTTCAGAACAAAAAAGCACCGCAGGACTCTCAGTGCAGTTAACATCCTGCCATCCGGGCACTTGCCCCCTGCCCTCTCCCCAAGAACCCTGTCCCCACGGCGCCAGCCTCCCCAGCTGCCGCCTCATTAGTGGCGCTTCCTCCTCCTCCTCCTCCTCTCAGCTCCTAGACCTCTTTGACAGTGAGGACCCCCGAGAGCGAGACTTCCTCAAGACCATTCTGCATCGCATCTATGGCAAGTTTTTGGGTCTCCGGGCTTATATTCGTAGGCAGATCAACCACATCTTCTACAGGTGAGACCAGGAGCGCACTCAGGAGCGGAGCCAGCCCCTGCTGAGGTGGGGCGGGAGCAGGGAGGTAGGGGAGACTCTGCCGGCTGATGGGGAGACCTCAGCGGTTGTCAAGAGCGCGCTTTCTCTCAGGTTCATCTATGAGACGGAGCATCACAATGGGATTGCCGAGCTCCTGGAGATCCTGGGCAGGTGAGAGGCGGTGGGGCACGTTCCTAGAAAGGGTGGGAGACTCATGGTGCCGTGAGCTTGGATCTGGCCTTTTGGCCCTAACAAACCTCGTGCAACTCCTAGCATCATCAATGGCTTTGCCCTGCCCCTTAAGGAAGAACACAAGATGTTTCTCATCCGTGTCCTGCTTCCCCTTCACAAGGTCAAGTCACTGAGTGTCTACCACCCTCAGGTGAGCTACCTGCCTCCGGAGGAATTCCCGTGGGATGGGGGTGGCATAGCGAGCAGGTGGGCTAACTCCTTCACACCTCCCTTTGTATGCTGGGACCTTGAGTCTGTCATCGACCCCTCTGAGCCCTGCACCTCACCGCCTTTCTACCTCTTTTGCAGCTGGCATACTGCGTGGTACAATTCCTGGAGAAGGAGAGTAGTCTGACTGAGCCGGTAATTCCCTTTCCAGCTCCGGGGTCCACCTGCTGCCACCAGCTTCACTTACTATTCTGTTCCTACTGGTCAAGTGCCCTAAGCGGGTGCTCAGGAGGCCTGCGGCCTGACAGATGTCATGATGTCCTGTCCAAAGGAGAAGGGAGGCCTGTATACACCCAGGGAACAGACCTAAGCCAGAGAAACATGAGCAGTCAGCTGAAGTCCCCCTTGCTGTGCCCACCAGGGTAGGGGTGTTGGAGGGCAGGAAGGCTTGCCAGAGAACCACACAGGTATTGAGAATGGTCCGCCTCCTCTTCTCACAGGTGATTGTGGGACTTCTCAAGTTTTGGCCCAAGACTCACAGCCCCAAGGAGGTGATGTTCCTGAATGAGCTAGAGGAGATTCTGGACGTCATTGAGCCTTCGGAGTTCAGCAAAGTGATGGAGCCCCTCTTCCGCCAGCTTGCCAAGTGTGTCTCCAGCCCCCATTTCCAGGTGAGCCTCCGACCCAGCCTGTCCCAGCCCCTGCCTCCCAGAAGCTGAGAAGGGCGGGAGCAGGCAAGCAGCACCCCCACCAAGTCCCGCCTCTCCCCACCAGGTGGCAGAGCGCGCTCTCTATTACTGGAACAACGAGTACATCATGAGCCTGATAAGTGACAATGCTGCCCGTGTTCTCCCCATCATGTTCCCTGCACTCTATAGGAATTCCAAGAGCCATTGGAACAAGTAAGACACAGGCGGGATGGGGTAGGTGGCAGGATCTGATTTTGGAACCTTTGAGGGTGTGAAGAACTAGAGTGCCAGGGGCCTCAGCTGGTCACTCAGCAAGTGGGGCTGACGTCCACTGTGTACTGACAGGACCTGAAATCAGCTATCCCCAGGACACCAAACAGCAAAGCAGGGCCTCTCTAACACCACTCCCTGTGGCCAACTGTTGTGTAGGTCACATCACAGCTTTGGGTAACTCCACTTTCTATGAGAAGCCAACACGATCCCCTTAGAGCGTTATGTGTACAGAATCCCAGAGCAAGCAGTACGTGGTACAGATGCAGTTCATTCTGCTGCTGAAAGGCCATCAGTGTGGGTTACAGTGGGAAATGGTAGGCAAGCTTTAAAGCATGGAGGAGGGGAAGGATGGACAGGTGGGTGGGTGTCTCAGGTCACATGCGTTAGAGCTATTTGCTTAAACTGTACAGAGGTTTGAGAAATAAATGGGAGTAACAAATGAGACAGTGCGAGACAGCAAATTGGAGTGGGGTGCTAAGGGCAGGCGCTGTCTCCTGTATCTCACCTTCGTTCCTGGTGGCAGGACAATCCATGGACTGATCTATAATGCCCTGAAGCTGTTCATGGAAATGAATCAGAAGCTGTTTGATGACTGCACACAACAATACAAGGCGGAGAAGCAGAAGTGAGTGCCTCTCTCCCTTTTTCACCTTCTGCCATCACCTCTCTGCTTCTAAGTCCAACTCTAATCCTCTGTTTGCTACCTCAGGGGCCGGTTCCGAATGAAGGAAAGAGAAGAGATGTGGCAGAAGATTGAGGAACTGGCCCGGCTTAATCCCCAGGTGAGGTTTTCTGCCAGTGTAGAGCCGGGAGCCCCACGTGGAGGAGGAGGAATAAGCAGACAGGTCACAGGCCACTGGAGCGGCACTCACTGCTCGTCCACGCCTGCTCTCCCCCTCAGTACCCCATGTTCCGAGCTCCTCCACCACTGCCCCCCGTGTACTCGATGGAGACGGAGACCCCCACGGCAGAGGACATCCAGCTTCTGAAGAGGACAGTGGAGACCGAGGCCGTGCAGGTGGAAGGCGCTGGGGTGGGGCTGGGCAGTTGGAGCAGAAATTACAGACAGACGGGGAGGGCAGAGACAGAGCAGCAGAGGCCACGGATAAGGGAGAGGAGGGGCTGGCGTTGTGGCGCACAGGGTTAAGCCACTGCACATGAGACCGGGTGGAGTTCTGGGTACCCGGCCTCAGCCCGGCCCAGCCCCAGCCACTGCAGCCATTTGCAGAGTGAACCAGTGGACGGAAGAGCTCTCTCTCTCTCTCTGGCACTATGCCTTTTGAATAAATAAATCTTGAGAAAAAAAGAACTAAGGGGAGGAAACAGGTCACGCAGAAGTGGTCACCGCTGCTCGCCTGTGCCTGTCGTACACAGATGCTGAAGGACATCAAGAAGGAGAAGGTGCTGTTGCGGAGGAAGTCGGAGCTGCCGCAGGACGTGTACACCATCAAGGCGCTGGAGGCGCACAAGCGGGCGGAAGAGTTCCTAACTGCCAGCCAGGAGGCTCTCTGACCCCTCACCTCCCACCACGGGGCCACAGCCCACTCGGCCCTGGGACGCTGCCCCGGCCCTCCACCCTCGCTCCCTACCAGCTGACTTGGGCAAGGCAGTGCCTCTCTAGCTAGAGAAGGAAGCAGGCGCTTGAAGCAGGGACATCCAGAGTGTTCCCGCCTCTCCCCAGAGTGTTCACGCCTCCCTGTGGCTAGCGCAGACAGGGTGAGCACTGATGCTCAGACAACCTGGGGATGCCTGTCCCCCTCCTGCTCCTAACCCCACAGCTACCTGAGGCTGCTCTGAGACATATACAGGAACACGTACGCTCCTCTCCCCGTCCCTCCATCCTCATTTGAACTCCAGGTATCTCTTCCTCTCTCTCCCCTGCAGAGGCTTATAGGGAGCCGCAGGAGATGATTCTCACCAAAGTTACGTCCAGCTCTGTTGGCCCCTGGAGTAGCTGGAGGGGAGCCAACTCCCAGCAGCACAAATGAGCCCCAGCCCCAGCAGTGTGCAGGCTGATGAGGTGGTATTATTTCCTCTTACCCCCTGCCTGACCAAGACAAGGGAGGTCAGAAGGAGAAATGATGAATTTACGGCCCAGATGGACCAAGATGGGGGGATGAACAAACACCCCACCCTGCGCCCTTTCGGTGAGCAGCAGCCCGGGGATCACGAACACGGAAGGGACCACCCTGGGACTGACTGCTTTCCTGTGCGGCTGCTTCCCAAAGCCACAAAGAAGTGGGGAGCAGTGCCCCAAGGCGCCCCAGACACCTATTTATTTCCTTGTTTGTGCTGATGCTGGGCAGGCTCTCACTTGTCCCTTTTAGGCACCTTGGAGGGGCAAGGGGCTGAGGAGGGCTGGACCCAGGTTCCAGGGGCACAGGCAGCGTGGGTTCTGGCTGTGTACATAGGGTGCTTTATTCTCCACAGAGTAATACATGCCAAGGTCGGTGGGGCTTGGGCCGATGTCCCCATATGTACAGAACTGAATAAAGTGGGTCTCTGAGAAGTCTGATTTGCCTTGATGTGGAAAGGGAGACGGGGAGGGTGGACATTATAACCAGAGGTGTTCAGTCCCGTGCTGCTTCTGGCCTGGAATGTCGGGAGGGAAGGCAGCGCTCACTGTGTTCACTTCCAGGCAGGGGAGGCCTGCCGGGCTTGCAGGGCTTTCTGGACCACGTCCTCCCACTGGGCATCTGAGATCTCCTGAGCCCAGGCAGGAACCCCTGGTGCTGGCAGGCTCACTCCAGCCATCGTCCTTTTCACCAGCTCCACGTGTTCTGAAATCACAGGCAGAGGCCAGTCAGGGAGAAGAAACAACAGGACCAGCTCCCTTCCCCAGTCCTATCCGCCCAGAGCCTGTGGGCCGGTGGGACCCAATGTCACTTCTAGGTAAGCCTGCCCATATAGCAGGAAGACACTTCCCCTGGATTCTGAAGTGTGCAGAATCTGAACTATAAGGAAATACAGTGCTCCGCTGTAACTTCCCTCACTGGACTGGGCCAGTCTGTTTCCTTCATAATGATTCCAGAATGATAGAATGATCTTTTTTTTACCTGGATCCATGGGAATAGAGCTGTGATTGCCCAATGCTGTGGCTCCCTCCTCCTCTTCATCCTCACTCTCTAATGGGGGGTCTGGTAAATGAAGCCCCAGGGCCTGCAGAGTCGGGGGGTGGGGTGGGAAACAGTTCCAGTCCAACCCAGGGACTCCGGCTTTGCCTACTCAGGGACGATCCCTCCTCGGCCATACCTGGATCCGATCCTGGATGTCAGCAACTATATCCTCCGCGTCCCCCACCGGTGCCAGCTCCACCTCCTCTTGTTCAGGATCTTGGTTCAGGGGCTGGTAGGAGTAGCCAGCTGGGCCTGCCCCCGTTTCCTCCTGCTCCTCCTCGGGCTCCTCGCTGCTCCAGTCCCCAGTGCCTTCTGTAGGGCCCTGATGCGGTCCCAGTTCTTCCGTTTGATTGGGGAAGATACGCTCAGGGCCCATGGTGTCTGCCCCTAGGACTACTGCTGCCATCCGGGAAGGGGCTGAAAGACAGGGGAGGCCAGAGGGTAGGGACGCGATGAAACCAGGCCCACCTTCACGCTCTCACTCAGCTACTTCTGGGCTCCTTTCGCGTCCACAAAACCAGTTCTCTTTCCCCAAGGTTCCTGCATCCTTCTCCGACCTCTCCTTCCCCTAAGTCGGAGCTCCACCACCCTCGCTAAATGAACAGCCCGAAGCCCTGCCACCTCCTAAAATAACCCCTTCCAGAACGCCCCTCACCACGCCCTCCCCTGGAAACCCTGAGACGCCCCCCTAGAAAGGACGTATCCGCCCCCCTTCTCCCCTCTCCCAGGGCTTCCCCTCGGTACCGCTTTGGCAAAAACCTTTCAGGCCCAAGGGGCTTCCCTCGTATCGCCCAGCAGCGACGCCCCCCACCCGCCCCGACCAACTCTCGGCGCTGGGGTCTCCGCGCGCCTCACCCTCTCAGAAGCCCTCGGCCAAGCCCGCACCTTCACTTCCGGCGGGGAAGGACGTGAGGGAGCGCCCAGTTCTGCAGCCCCGCCTTGTGCTCGTGACTGACGCGCGCGGGGCCCAGGAGCCCGCCCCTTGCCCCGCCTCCCCCATCCCCTGACCGGACCATAAGGACTACATTACCCAGTGAGCGCCACGGTCTTGACACAGTCCAGCACATGCGCAAGAGCTCTCCTCGGGCTCCTGCCCTCCCCACAGCCCTCAGGTCCCCTCAAGGAACTTGTGGACTACAAGTCCCGGAAGGCTTAGGGGACCTAGTCCCGACTGCACGTGCGCGCCCAGCTGCCCGCCGGAAGGACCGAGCCTGGCTGTGTTTATCTCGTTGGGGACTGAGGCGTCGGTTGGCGCGCAACGGGTTCTAGGCTGCAGGCAGCGCGAGGACCCGCGGCCCCGCCCCGGCCCGGCCTGGCAGGTAGCCTGGGATGGGTTCAGGGGCAAGGAGGAATTGGGGGGCTGGGGACGCCCATGCCTAGGGCTGGAGTCGTGGGGGAGGGGCCTGAGAGTGATGGGGTGGGGGGTTGGGAGGGACCTAGGGGGATGATGGGAAAGGAGAGAGTTAATGGGGAGAGAAGGCCTGGAGGAGGGTGGTGGGGAGACCAGTGGGAGAGACCTGATGGCTGGAGGGGGCCCTTGGGGAAACTGGGAGGAAGACTGGGTTAGGAGAACGGGGCCGCTGAGCATAATTGGGGCGGGGAGGGGGAGAGGAAGAGGGAGGCTGTCGTGTGGGGGAGGGGAGGCTGGGATGCCTGCAAGAAGACGGAGACAGAGCTTTTCGGAGAGGAATGCCCGTGGCTGAAGGGGATCAAGGAATCTTAGATTTTCTTCCTTTCGTGGAGATGGATGGAGGGATGGCTGTCGGGTGGCGCTTGGAATTGTGGGAGAAGGAGAAAGGCGAAAATGGTAAAGCCTTCCGGAGATGAAGAAGGGCCAGAAATGGGGGATGAGCATTGGCCAGAGACCAAGGAGAGGAAGTCGGTGCCTTAAGGGAATCGAGGAAGCTTGAACGCGCCACAGTGACGATGGGTGGTGACCCAGAGCTGAAAAGAGCCCCCGCCCCGAGCTCGTTCTGGGGTCTGAGTTGTCCTTAGGGAGGATAGCTTAGCTAACCTTTCTCCACCTTTGGCTGCAATTGCTTGCCTCTTTGCTTTTTTTTTTTTTTTTTTTTAACTTTACCTGCTAGAACTGAAGGTAGATGAAAACCTTCCATCCCGAAGCCCTGCAGCCTCCTAATTATCCCCACAAGCCTCGATCCAAGGTGTTTTGGATTGGGAATGGAGTAATGAATTGAGGGTAGCTTTCCAGTGGGGCTGTTTCAGATGGGCAGGGTGGCTATTTAAAGCGTGGGGTGTGGGATTGGGGGAGGTTGGGGGGGAGGAGGGGTGATGGGCAGGCCAGCTGGAAGTCATTTCTCTTTCCTGCAAGGGGCCTCCCTTCCATGAGCTTTTTCTGTGCCTGAGGTTCTGCCTGGCTCTTCCCTCTGCCAGGAATTCTTGAACAGGGAGACGATCCACCCAGACTCAGCAGGTGCCTGCCAGCAGAGGCACTGCCAGTGGCGAGAGGATTTGCCTGAAAGAGCCCTCAGATGTCCCCATTATCGCTAGGCTGGCAGCTTGCATTTAAGAAACCATGACCTCTCAGGCCTGGGTCTTTGTCTCATCCTGCCCGAGGGCATTTTTGCTTCCCAGTCCCATCCTCCTTTCCGGGGTCCAAGTGGGGGCCGAGCTGCTGGAAATGGGTTGTTCTCCTGTAACACGATCGGAGGTTTGGGACAGTGGCAAGAAGAGAGAAGGCCTCCTCCCCGTCCTCAGCAAACTTAAACTGTTCGGGCTTAAGTTCCTAGTCTTGGCAGCATGCCAGGCACAGCTGTCAAAGGAACTCCTCGTGCCCGTGGGGGGCCCTGGGTGACCCCAGTGACAACAACAGCTCAGCCTGACAAGAGCTCTCTGCGAGGGGCTAACCAACCACAGTGTCACAGAGGTCCCCGGCCTGGGTTGGGGCACTGTCCCATTCTAAAAGCCTAAAAGCTTTTCTGCTTTAAAGCATCCATGCCAGCTTTCAATGGACCGTCTGGGCTGGCTAGACTATTAATAGCTGTGAGTATTTTGAGATCCCTCTCCCCACCTTTAAGAGCACAGGGATTCTTCGAGAGGTGGCAGTAAGCAGAGCGGAGACGAGAACACACCCGGCCTGGGAAGGGAAGGGGGCTTGCAGCTTGCGCCAAGCCAGGCACCAGGGGGTGCCTCCATGAGTAGGAGGCAACCACAAGCCGCAGATTCTGAGCCAGCAGTCAGGTCGAGGCGGCCCCACCCTTTGCTGTTGAAGAACAGAGGAGTAGGGATAGCTCCCTGACCTCGGCAGCTCCTCTGGGGCAGGGCCAGCCACCTGAGCTGTGCCTGGTGTCCCTGCCGTGGGGTGGTGTGGGAGGGCCCCCAGGGTGACACTTGGAGGCAAGGGCTAGTGCTGGGCAGTCGCGAGGAGCTGGTCAGGAGACGCCTTCCCTGAGGAGCCCTTGTCCCTGACTTGCGTGCAGGTAGCAGAGGCAGCAGGCCGTGCCGGGGGGGCATGTTGCTGTGACCAGTGACCCAGGGGATGTTACGGTGGACAGTGCACCTGGAGGGCGGGCCCCGCAGGGTGAACCATGCTGCAGTGGCTGTCGGGCACCGGGTATACTCCTTCGGGGGTTACTGCTCTGGCGAAGACTATGAGACACTGCGTCAGATAGACGTGCACATTTTCAATGCAGGTAAGCCGAGCTTGCACCATCGTTGGGTGCCCATATCGGGGGCCGGGGGGAATGGGTTGGCTGGGTTAGGTTTGGCCATGTCTCTGTGGCCAAGGGGATTAGGGATGAATGTCTGGGTTGGGGAAGAATGGACAGGCTGAAGGAGATTCCCAGGACTGAGCAGAGCTGTGCCCACAGTATCCTTGCGTTGGACAAAGCTGCCCCCAGTGAGGCCCGCCGTCCGTGGGCAGGCTCCCGTGGTACCCTACATGCGATATGGACACTCAACCGTCCTCATCGACGACACAGTCTTCCTTTGGGGCGGGCGAAATGACACCGAAGGGGCCTGCAATGTGCTCTATGCCTTTGACGTCAGTGAGTATGGGTGTCAGAGAGACTGTTCTGCCAAACGGTGCCTCGGGGGACTGGGGAACAGGGCAGCCCAGAGCTAGGAGGGCGTGTTGGAGGGGCTGCTGACCCGAGCCCTTCTCTCACTTCCTTCAGATACTCACAAGTGGTCCACACCCCGAGTGTCGGGAACAGTTCCTGGGGCTCGGGATGGACATTCGGCTTGCGTCTTGGGCAAGATCATGTACATATTTGGGGGCTACGAGCAGCTGGTATGTCTGGGAAGAAAGAGGGTTAGGCTGGGAAGGAGGAAGAAGGGGACTTTTGGGTGGGTGGTGGAATGAGAGGCCCTGGCTTGTTTGCAGGTTTTGACTGGGGAGGAGGGTTGGAGGATCAGAGAGACCATTGGCCCCCTCTTCCTTTCTCTTCCCACTCAGGCGGACTGCTTTTCCAATGACATTCACAAGCTGGATACCAGCACCATGACATGGACCCTTATCTGTACGAAGGTCTGCCCTTTCTTCTCCTGGATCCCTCCTCCATCAAACGAGTAGTCGGACGCTCAGTGAGAGCAGATCCCTTCCAGCCTCTGTGCTGATCCCCTTCCCCGGTTTCTCTGTTCCTGCCAGGGCAACCCTGCGCGCTGGAGGGACTTCCACTCAGCCACAATGCTGGGCAGTCAAATGTACGTCTTTGGTGGCCGTGCTGACCGCTTTGGGCCATTCCATTCCAACAATGAGATTTACTGCAACCGCATCCGCGTCTTCGACACCAGAACCGAGGCCTGGCTGGACTGTCCCCCGACTCCAGTGTTGCCTGAGGGGCGCCGGAGCCACTCGGCCTGTGAGTGTCTGAAGTCTCCCTGCGGAGCCCCCTCCTGCTGCCCCCCTCACTCACGTGCCGCTCTCCTTCCAGTTGGGTACAACGGCGAGCTGTACATCTTTGGTGGCTATAACGCAAGGCTGAACCGGCACTTCCATGACCTCTGGAAGTTTAACCCCGGTAAACAGCACTACCCTTGGGGAGGGACAAGGAGCAGTTGAAGTGGGAGAAAAAGGAAGGGTGAGGGGACGGGGGATGGAGAAGGTACCTGGGCTGGGCAGATACTGAGCCTCCCATGTACACTTCTCTTTAGTGTCCTTTACTTGGAAGAAGATTGAACCGAAAGGGAAAGGGCCATGTCCCCGCCGACGCCAGTGCTGCTGCATTGTTGGTGACAAGATTGTCCTCTTTGGGGGTACCAGGTTAGAAAGGGAGATGGGAGGGCTCAGGGAAGGGCTGAAGTCCATGGAAGTGGGGAGTGTTTGAGGCAGAGGGCCTGATGGGTAGTTTTCCCCCTACCTTCAAGTCTCTCTTGATACCTACAGTCCATCGCCAGAGGAAGGCCTAGGAGATGAATTTGACCTCATCGATCATTCGGACTTACACATTTTGGACTTTAGTAAGTATAGTTTTGCAGTGCTCCTGTCCCCAGGGTCCCTGTCACTGGGTGACGAACCTCAGGACTGGATCCTCTGCTCAGTTCTGACCATCTCCCTCCTCCGACTCCTCTCTCTTAAAGGCCCTAGTCTGAAGACTTTGTGCAAACTGGCAGTGATTCAGTATAACCTGGACCAGTCGTGTTTGCCCCATGACATCAGGTACAGGGAGTGCTGGAAAGACGGGAGTGGATGAGGCTGAGGGAGCAGCTGGTCTCAGTGTGGAGGACACTCTGCTGGAGATGCTGTATAGGTGTGGGGCACGCAGTGGAGGGAGGGGAAGTTACCGCTCGGACTTGGACCCACAGTCGTTAGCACACTGAGAACAACTGAGTCACTCTTAGAACCTGCTGCAGAGTCAACACCTGTGTAGGAGCCTCTGCACCACATCCGCGCCACAGTTAAGGGGGGGCCTGGCTACTTTGAATTCCATTTTCAGATTCAAATCAGTCACCAAAAGTTACCTTGTATATAAGTCATTCTGAGACACTTCGCTCTCCTTATATCAACTCACTTTCCTTAACTCTCAGTTGCCCAGTCTCCCCACTGAGTATCTGATACAGTGTGCAAGGCTGAACTGGTGGAATGGACTGGCCCGTGTGTCACATGTGCAGGAACCCAATGCCAGGCACACTGTTTAGGATCCTGACTTAAGGAGGCCCTTGGTCAGTCTTTGTCGAATGAAAGCATTGTTGAGAAGAGAGATTTAATTTTAATTGGTGAGGTGGGTGGGGAAGCTCGGGGAAGGATAGGAGAGTTGAGTCATGGCTTTAAAAGGATGGGTGTTGACAGCAAAAATAGGTATTTCTGTTGGGGGTAAGGTGGAGGGTGGCGGGTGGACTGGTTGGATCTGAGCAGAGCAAGAAAGGTAGGTTGGGGCCACAGATCCCAGGTGCCTGGACTCAGAGTGTATATGAACAGGAAGTCCACATGAGCTTGCAGGCCGAGGAGTGTTTGGTACTGGACTTGGTAATGGGTGAGTCTGTTAAACCTATTAGGGCTAAATGACAAGGTGCTGTGGGTGGTTAGCTTTAGGAAGATGGAGGGACTGGTGCGGGCACAGCTTGGGGTGAGGGCTCCCCCATCTGTCCCTTCTGCTCGTCATTGCTGGCTTTCCAGGTGGGAGCTGAATGCCATGACCACCAACAGCAATATCAGCCGCCCCATCGTCTCCTCCCACGGGTAGGAGGAAGTTTGCCGCCTCCCCTCCTGAGCCTGCTGTTGTCTTCACTGCCCCTGCCCCTGCCTTTCACCTGCCTGCTCCTTTGGACCCTGGACTCAGTATACCTCCACGTGGACTTGTTGGACTAGAGGTGTTTCTGTGCTGTGAATTCAGTGGGGAGCTGTGGGGGGAGGGTCCGGTTCCGCTCCCCTCCCCCTTGGGCCGAGGGCCCCTTCCCCGTGGTGCTCTGTCCCCGTCCACCTCTTGATTGCTCCTGGGCCTCTGCTCTGCGCCAGGCCAGCCAGGCTCTGCTGGGAAAGGAAGGGAGTGGGAAGAAAGTGAGCAGTGTCCGAGCCTCAGGAGCGCCCCCTCCCTTCCGCCTGCCCCGTCCCCCTGCTTGAGCCGTGAGCATTGGCTGGGAACTGAGAGGAGTCGCAGCTGTTGGCATGAAACCTCCTTCTCCCCGACCTGGGAGGCGGGGACCAGCAGATAATCCTACCCTTTCCGAGCCTTCGCTGCACCGAGGCTCAGCCAGCTCGGATTTTATAAAAAGGAATTAAAATCTCCAAACGTGTGTGTCTTTGTGGAACGCCGCGGGGATGGCGGGGGTCGGCGGGAGCGGAGAGGGGAGGCCTCCGAGGGTCTGGCTTCGCAGCGAAGACTGTTAGGAAACCAAATGCCACCAAGACTTGCCCAGCTTGCGACTCGGCTAGAAGGTCGCAACGTTCCCCCGAGCAGGCTCTCCTTGGGCCGGGCTCCCGGCACCCCGCTGCGCAGTGTTCTGGTCTTTCATCACCTGCTTCCAACGCGGCCTCCGGGGACGCCGGAAGGGGCGGGGCGCGGGCCGCCGCGAGCGGAAGTGACGCCATTCCTCGTGGGAACGCTATGGCAGCGACGCTGAGAGCCGGGGCTGACGCCCGACATGCCCGTAAAACCCAGGATGCCGGGGCCGGGGAGCCCGGGGCCGCGACCCACAGCCTACCGAGGGGTGAGGACCGGAGGCCCGCGGGGCGGGCCGTGGGGGGCGAGCGCTTCCGGGGTTCGGACGCGCCGAGTCGGGTTTCTACAGAACACGCGGAAGGACCGCGGTTCCTGGGGGTTTGGGTCCGGGTCAGCGAGTTCCTCGGATGCTTACTGAGCATCCGTCAGCAAGCACAGCCCTGGCTGCCGGAGATGCCGCAGCGAGGGACAGCCTGGAGTTTTGCTTTCAGAAAGGGCGGTGAACAATAAAAATAAAAAGGCAAGCAACGCCTCACATCAAAAGGCAGACGCCGAGTTGTGTTACTGGGAGGTAGATGTTGTGGCGTGTGGATTATATCAGCTTCCTGAAAAGGCGGCAAGGGCTGTGAAGAGAAATAAGGCAAGGGAGGGGTAGCAGCTTCTCATGAGGTAGTCAGAGAAGGCCGCGCGGCGGAGGGGGCAGCGACACAGATCTGGGGGAAGCCCCCAGGCAGAGGCGGTGGCCAGTGCCAAGGGGCTGAGGCTGGAAGCTGCCTTCCCAGGACCTGCCAGGAGGCCTGATGCTGGGAGGATTAGTGGGGCATGCGATTGGAAACTTTACATGGGGCCAGGTCGTGTGGGGACCTGGGGCATTGAGAGATGGACGGCTTCATGGAAGCCACTGGGGAGCTCAGTTTGTGGCAGTGATAAGATCAGGATTCTTCTTCGTTGCCTCGGGCTAAAGTGAGGAGCAGAACTTTGAGAGCGACTGGAGGTCCAGTGAGGTCCGTGCACTGAGAGACGCTGAGTCCATGGACGGGACGTTGGCCGTAGTGACCAAGCAAGGGAGCCAGAGAGCCTGTGCGGAAATCTGTGAAGAACCAATTTAATTTTTTAAAGATATTATTTATTTATTTGAAGGGTAGAGTTACAGACAGAGAGAGGGAGAGACAGAGAGAGGTCTTCCATCCACTGGTTACTCCCCAGATGACCATGATGGCCAGAGATAGGCCAATCTAAAACCAGGAGCCGGGAGCTTCTTCCAGGTCTCGTATGTGGGTGCAAGGGCCCAAGCACTTGAGCCGTCATCCACTGCTTTCCCAGGAGCATTAGCAGGGAGCTGGGTTGGAAGTGGAGCAGCCGGGACTCAAACCAGTGTCCATATGGTATACCGACGCTGCAGGCAGCAGCTTAACCTGCTACACCACAGCACTGGCCCCTAAATAAGTAATTTTTTTTTTTTAAAGGAACATCTCTTGCTCACTTTGGCAGCACATATGCTAAAATTGGGGTGATACAGAGATTAGCACGGCCCCTGCACAAGGATGACACCCAAATTTGTGAAGCATTCCATATTTTTAAAACAAACAAAAAATAAATAAATAAAAAGGAGCAGCCCAGGACTAGGGCTGTGGTGCAGTGGGTTACAGCCTCGGCTACAGGAGCTGAAGCCCTAGAGCCACCTTTCACTGCTTTCCAGGAGCGTCAGCGGGAACCCGGATCCTGCGTAGATCAGGATGAAATCCCAGGCTCTTGGCTTTGATTCGCCAGCCATTGTGGCCAGTCAGAGAGTAAACCAGCAGATGGAAGATCTCTCTCTGTGTGTCTTTGTCTCTAACTCTGCCTTTCAAATAAGTAAAATCTTAAGGTTTATTTAGTAAATAAATAAGTAAGTAAGTAAATCTTTGAGGCCAGTGTTGTGGCGTACATAATAGGCTAAGCCTCTGCCTGCAGCACTGGCATCCCATATGGGCGTCTATTTGAGACCCAGCTGCTATACTTCCTATACAAATCCCTGCTAATGTGCCTGGGAAAGCATTGGAAGATGTGCCACGTCCTTGGGCCACTGCACCCACTTGGGAGACCTGGAAGAAGTTCCTGGCTTCGGACTGGCCCAGCTCCAGCCACTGGGGTATTTGGGAAGTGAACCAGTAGATGGAAGATCTCTCTGTCTCTGCCTCTCCCTCTCTGTAACTCCACCTTTCAAATAAATAAATACATCTTAAAGGAGTGAACCAGCAGATGGAAGATCTCTCCTCTCTTCCTTTCTCTCTAACCTTGTCTTTCAAATAAACAATCTTTTAAAAAAAGAAAGATCTGCCATTTGCTGGTTTATTTTGCAAATGCCAGCAACAGAGATGGGCATTATGACAGCAGGTTAAACTGTACTTGGGATGCCCTCATCCCATGTCAGGGTGCCAAACCTTGTTTCTGATTGAGCTTTCTGCTAGTAAATGTGAGAGGCAGTAGATGATGGCTCAAGTGCTTGGGTCCCTGCCATGTATGTGGAAGACTGCATGGACTTCCTGGCTCCTGGCTTCCTCCCGGCCCAGCCACAACTGTTACAGGCATTTGGGGTGCAAACCGATGGATGGAAGGTATCTGTGTTTCTGCCACTCTGCCTTTCAAACAGATAAAAAATAAATGCACATTAAGAAATAAAAAAAGAAGGAACTGTGGCTTGATCTGCTTCTGACCTTAGGCATACTCCTTCCTTAGCAAGTTGAGGCCCCAAGTAGATGAACAGCTAGGGAGTCAGGTGGTGGTGTAGCCCCTTCACAGCCTTGCCATCTGGGAGCTCCAGTAGTTATTGGGGTGCTGGTGTCTCTCAGGAGTGGGAATCGCTGAGCTGAACCATGTCCCTCCTCCCCTGCCACTCCCACAGATATGTCTACCTTGTCATTTGAAGAGCTGTTGGAGTTGCAGAGCCGAGTGGGGACTAAGGCATACAAGCAACTGGTAGTCGCAAACAGCACGAAGAAGCAAGGTTCCAGACCACGCGTGCAAAATGCGTGTGTCGCAGATAAGCACAGGTGAGCAGCAGCGTCTGTCCTAGGGGCTGGAGGGTACCTGGTACCTTAATAGGCATCTGCTTTTTTGGAGGGGGCCGGCAGGTGGAAATCTTCTGACCAAGGCAGGAATCCCCTCGAACTGTCCTTCAATTTCACCATAGGCCTCTGGAAATGTCGGCCAAGGTTCGAGTGCCATTTTTACGTCAAGTTGTTCCCGTCAATAAAAAGGTGAGAGGAGGCAGGAAGCAGTTTCTCAGGAAAGGGAGACCAAACGATGTGTTCTGAATTCTCACTGTTCTCTCCAAAGGTGGCCCGGGACCCCCGCTTTGATGATCTGTCAGGGGAATACAATCCTGAGGTGTTTGATAAAACATACGAATTCTTGGATGGCATCCGAGCTAAGGAGAAAGAGGTATGCGTCGTGAGACTCGTCCTGGGCTCAGCTTAGAGCGTTGGGCAGAGGAGAGCAGTGGGCAGGTGTAACTCTTGAATTTGGTTGGAATAGTCAAATCCTGGCTCATCAGTCGGCTGAGCGACTGTGGCCATCAGCACCCGACCTCTTTGCTTTGGTGTTCTGATCACTAAAAGGGTCGTCATAACCCTGTCTCCCAGTGTTACTGAGTTGCTGTATATGAGCCCCCTAGAATAAAGCTGACAGTCGCTGAGTGCTGTCTGTCGTGTTGCCTTGCGGATGTGCAGCTTGTGAGAAAGCAGTTGAAGAAGCACCGTTCTGGGGAGGAGCGGGAGAAGCTGCAGCAGCTGCTTCAGCGGATGGTGAGCGGCGGATGAGGGCCAGTGGCTGGGAGAGCGCTTCAAGGCAGCGGGCGAGGTCCTCCTGCTCACGCGTCCCTGCCCTCTGTCTTCGCTCCTCAGGAGCAGCAAGAAATGGCCCAGCAGGAACGAAAACGGCAGCAGGAGCTGCGCCTGACCCTGAAGCGCGAGCGGCGGGCTCGGGCCCAGCAGGGCCACCGGCCGTACTTCCTGAAGAAGTGTGAGTGTGGCACAGCTCTTGCAGGCTGCTTACAGGGACCACGGGGGCATCCAGCAGATGCCTTCAGGGAACCCATGGTGGCTCCATTCCAGGGTAACGCGGAGAAAGAGAAATAATAGGAGTTGTGTCTGGGCTGGTATACCTAACTAGATGATGGCGGGAATCGTTGCTTTCTCTGTGTTACACACGCCTCTGGCTCCCCCAAGCTGGGTCAGGTGCGTGGGAGGCGCCCTCGTTGGTTGGGTTGAGTAAGACTGGCATCGTATCAAAAGTCAGCTCGCTCACACACCCTCTGAACTCCAGGGGTTGGTGAATGGCGGGCAGCGTGGTGGCCGGGAGGCGCTGGCCTGGAGAAAGGGGAAGGAGGTGGACTTCCTCGTTCACCAGCTGGCTTTCTCTGTGTCTGCAGCGGAGCAGCGCCAGTTGGCCCTGGCTGAGAAGTTCAAGGAGCTGAAACGCAGCAAGAAGCTGGAAAGCTTCTTGAGTCGCAAGAGGCGCCGAAATGCAGGCAAGGACAGGAGACATCTGCCTCTGAGCAAAGAGTAGTCGGGAACTGCCGTCTGCCCTGCTGCTGCCCAGGAGAGATGGCTCTGTGGGGCAGCGTTGGGCTCGGCCTGTTCTGGTTCCTTCCCGTGGACACGCGAGGATCACAGCTGCCCTTGAACTCACTTGGCTCAGAGGAGTCTGGAGGGCTCTCGGACCGTCCCAGGGCCGGACAAGGAGAGCAGCTCAGCCTTCTAGACTACACTGCCTCTGCTTGGATCTGCTCATCATCACGGCCCCCTGTCCTTGCCGATGGTTGCAGTACAAAACCAGAGGGGCTATGGAATCCATTCAGGCCTTCCAGGCCTGAGACTGTGTAGGAGCCGCTTCATAAACATTTTTGTTACTCGCTTTTTTGTTCTTGTCATCATGCTTATTCGTGAGCTGTGTGAGTGGCCTAGGTGTAGTGGCTGTGTGTGGGAGTAGGCAGCAAAGGGCCTCGTAGGCCGGGAAGTCAGGTCAGCCTCTTCTACTTAATCTGCTTCCTCCAAAGATGACTCAGTCGTGTACAGGGGGACAGTCCCAGGCTTGGGTTTGCATGAACCGGGGAGGCAGGAAGTGTAGACAGAGAGCTTCCACTCAGACCTCAGAAATGTCTTTCTGATGAAACGTCGTGGAACACGAGCTCACAGTTAAACACACAGCATGCTGGGAGAGAAACGGCCATGAGCAAGAGTTGTTGGGAACAACAGGCAATAGAATCAGACCAGGAAAGATGACACGGGGTAGATGACAAAATAGAAAATGTAACACTCAGGTTTAAAGGAGAAGTATGACTAATGAATATCAAAAGGGACCAGGCTGGTTTGATTAAAAAGTGAAACTTTTAGGCTGGCACCGCGGCTCACGTGGCTAATCCTCTGTCTGCGGCGCCGGCACACCAGGTTCTAGTCCCGGTTGGGGCACCAGATTCTGTCCTGGTTGCTCCTCTTCCAGCCCAGCTCTCTGCTGAGGCCCAGGAAGGCAGTGGAGGATGGCCCAAGTGCTTGGGCCTTGCACCCGCATGGGAGACCGAGAGGAAGCACCCAGCTCCTGGCTTCAGATCGGCGCAGCATCAGCCGATCTCCGTCAGCGTCAGCGCAGCAGCCATTTTGGGGGTGAACCAACGGAAGGAAGACCTCACTCACTCTCTGTCTAAACTCTGCCTGTCAAAAGATAAAAAAAAAAAGAAAAAAAAACTTTTAAAAGTGAAAATGCACTAGCTGAAGTCAGAAATGTTATTTTAAGCAGCAGATTAGACTTCTCCCTAAAGGGAAAATGAACTGGAAGTAAATCAGAAGAAATTAGAGATGGAGTACAGAAAGACAGAAATGGAGACTAAGGAAAGATGGTTTTGCAAGGAAGGTGCAGTGAGAAGGTTTGACACATACAGTTCCAGAAGGAGAGACTGAAAGATGCTGAGAATTGGGCCCAGCGTTGGAAGAGGGGCTAAGATACTGCTTGGATGCCCATATTCCATATCAGTGCCCAAATTCAAGGCCCAGCTCTGCTTCTCAGCCTGCTTCCTGCTAATGCTCTCTGAAGACAACAGATGATGTCCCCAATGCTTCAGTCCCTGCCACCCACGTGGGAGAATCAAATTGTTGGCTCCTGGTTTTGGCCTTGCCCAGCCCAAGCTATTGTCAGTATTTGGGGAGTGAATCAGCAGCTGGGAGATCTGTCTACCTCTCTCTTTCTGCCTTTCAAATAAACATTTATTTATTTAAAAAAAAATGGGCTGAGGAGTGGGTGTTTGGAATAGTGGTTAAGTCACTGCTTGTGATGCGTCCCGCCTACACTTCTAATCCAACCTCCTGCTAATGTGCACTCTGGAGATGACAGATGATAGCCCTAATGCTTGGGTCCCTGCCACCCACATGGGAGAGACCCAGATGGGGAACCTGGTGCCTGGTTTCAGCCTGGCTTACCCTGGTTGTGAGCACTGGAAAGTGAACCAGTATATAGGAGCTCTGTCTCACTGCCTTTCAAGTAAATTTTTAAAACTGCTTACAAGCTGAGAATTTTCCAGAACTAGTGAAATTTGTAAGCTTTAATCAGGTGGGTGTTAACAGCACAACAGGTCAATAAACTGCCACCTATGATACCGGCATCCCATATAAGTACCAGTTCAAGTCCTGGCTATTCCACTTCCAATCCAGCTCCATGCTAAAGCGCCTTGGAAAGCCGCAGATGGCCCGAGTGTTTAGGCCCCTGGACCATGTTGGGGACCCGGATGGAGTTCCAGGCTCCTGGCTTCAGCCTGGCCCAGCCCCAGCCGTTACAGGCATTTGGGAGGTGAACCAGCAGATGGAAGACTGACCTCTGTCTTCCTTTCTGTAACTCTGCCTTTCAATTCCTTTAATTTTTTTTTTATTTATTTATTTTGACAGAGTGGACAGTGAGAGAGAGACAGAGAGAAAGGTCTTCCTTTGCCGTTGGTTCACCCTCCAATGGCCGCCGTGGCCAGCGCGCTGCGGCCGGTGCACCGCGCTGATCCGATGGCAGGAGCCAGGTACTTATCCTGGTCTCCCATGGGGTGCAGGGCCCAAGCACTTGGGCCATCCTCCACTGCACTCCGGGGCCACAGGAGAGAGCTGGCCTGGAAGAGGGGCAACCGGGACAGAATCCGGTGCCCCGACCGGGACTAGAACCCGGTGTGCCGGCACCACAAGGCGGAGGATTAGCCTAGTGAGCCGCGGCACCAGCCTGTAACTCTGCCTTTCAAATAAATCTTTAAAGAAAAAAAGAATCAAGGGGCCGGTCCTGTGGCACAGCAGGTTAACGCCCTGGCCTGAAATGCTGGCATCCCATATGGGCATTGGTTCAAGACCCGGCTGCTCCACTTCTGATCCAGCTCTCTGCTATGGCCTGGGATAGCAGTAGAAGATGGCCCAAGTCCTTGGGCCCCTGCACCCACACAGGAGACCTGGAAGAGGCTCCTGTCTTCGGATCGGCACAGCTCTGGCCATTGCGGCCAATTGGGGAGTGAACTATCGGATGGAAGACCTCTCTCTCTGTGTGACTCTTTCAAATAAATAAATCTTTAAAAAAAGAACAAAAAGAATCAGGAAGTCTAATTAATCCCAAACAGGATTATTTTAAAAGGCTGGATAAATCACGAACTGTAGGACATTAGAAAACCCATCTTTTTTTTTTTTTTTGGCAGGCAGAGTGGACAGTGAGAGAGAGAGACAGAGAGAAAGGTCTTCCTTTTGCCGTTGGTTCACCCTCCAATGGCCGTCGCAGCCGGTGCGCTGCGGCCGACGCACCGCGCTGATCTGATGGCAGGTACTTCTCCTGGTCTCCCATGGGGTGCAGGGCCCAAGGACTTGGGCCATCCTCCACTGCACTCCGTGGCCACAGCAGAGAGCTGGCCTGGAAGAGGGGCAACCGGGACTAGAACCCGGAGTGCCAGCGCCGCAAGGCGGAGGATTAGCCCAGTGAGCCACAGCGCCGGCCAAAACCCATCATTTTAAAAGCTGCTTTAAGAGTAGAATTCATAGCCAGAAGAGCTAAGTTTGCTCTTTTTCAAAAAGACATTTATTTTACTTGAAAGGCAGAGTTACAGGAGAGGGAGAGACTGAAATATTCCACCTACTGGTCCACACTCCAAATAGCCACAACTGCCAGGGCTTAGAAAAGCAGTAGAAGATGGCCCAAGTGCTTGGGCCCTGCACCTGCGTGGGAGACCCTGAAGAGGCTCCTGGCTTTGGATCAGCACAGCTCCGGCTATTGCAGCCAACTGGGGAGTGAACCAGTGGGTGGAAGACCTCTCTCTCTGTCTTTCAAATAAATAAAATAAATCTTTTAAAAAAAATAAAGTCAAAAAACAGATTCTGACAACTATCCAATTCAGAACCACCGAGAAGGCTGAGGGAAGCTCTGAAAGGGGTGGGTCAAAGTGCAAGGTTCAGATGATGGTGGTTGGAAATCAATGTCCACTTCAAGGTGGTACTGGCCAGGGCTGCTGTGGCGGCGCAGTGGGTGAAGCTACCGTCTGTGATGTCGGCATCCTATATGAGCGCCAGTTGGAGTCCCCGGTACTCTGTTTCTGATCCAGCTCCCTGCTATTGTGCCTGGGAAAGCAGCAGTGGATCCCTAAGACCTTGGGCCCCTGCCCCGACCCTTGGGAAACCTGGATGGAGCTCCCGGCTCCTGGCTTCAACCTGACCTCTCTGGCCATTGAACTCATTTGGGGAGTGAACCAGTGTGGCTTCACCTGCTACACCACAGCGCCAGCCCCCAGAATCCCTTTTTTAAAAAAAGTTTGTTTTTAAAAAAGGTAGTATTGGTTGCTCTAAGCCTTCAAACTGCTACTCTTCCCCTTCAGTGAGGATCCAGAGATGTTGGAAAAAGCTTGGCGCTTCAGTTATGTTGTTTTTATTCTAAGAGTTTTACTGTGATAGAATTCACATTTTCTATAATATACCCAGTTAAAGTGTGCAGGTTTTTTTTTTTAGCATATTCATAGGATTATGTAAACATTCCCACAATTTGGGAACATTTCTGACACTGCAGAAAGAAGCCACACCTCTGAGAGGCAGAGTTACAGAGGGAGAGACAGACAGAAGGGTCTTCCATCCGGTGGTTCACTCCCCAAGTGGCTGCAACTGCCAGAGCTGAGCCAATCTGAACCCAGGAGGCAGGAGCTTCTTCCAGGTCTCGCACGTGGGTGCAGAGGCCCATGGAGTTGGACAATCTCCCACTGCTTTCCCAGGCCATAGCAAAGAGCTGCATCAAAGTGGAGCAGCCAGGACTGGAACCGGCGCCCATATGGGATGCCAACACTGCAGGCAGAAACTTAATCTACACCACAGCACCGGCCCCCAACTCTGCCTTTTGAATAAGTACTTTTTTTTTTTTAAACTAAGCTTGTGTAAAGTATGTATTATGAAAAAACTAGGCTTAGATTTCAAAGTTTTGTGCTCTAACATAAACTTGTCTTTTGATTCCATCTCCGTGAACTTTTGGAAGGATTCTAATGGTGCAAAGCATGAGCGCCAGGTCCTCCGCAGCCCCGTTTTCTTGCCTCATCCTGAGGGCCTTCTCCCAGGCCTGTTCTCTTTCCTTTACAGACTCGGTTCCAACTCCCAGGCTGGGTGGCACACAGTTCCCTCTGGGTGGCCTCTGTGCCACCTGGCTCCGCTTCACCCTGCTCCCTGTCCTTCATGGCTGTCTCCTTGTCACCTCTGGGCTGCAAGAACCATGGATTCCTTCCCTCCTCCTCCAGGGCCCTGCCAAGCCACAGGGCTTCATCTGAGCCCTGAGTGCCCTCACCCGCCTGCCTCAGCACAGGTGGGGCCAGGGAGCCAGTCATGGCAGCAGGGGAAGGCCTGGCTTGCCAAGGAGGTTAGCTGGGGGTGGGAGTTTGA